CTTTTTCTCTTCCCCTCCCCCTTTCCTCTTTCCCCCTTTCCCTTCCCTTTTTCCTTCCCTCCTCAGATTCGTGCTCATTTCATGCAGGAGAGGGTGAGAATCAGACACAGCCACTGATTTGTTTAACAGGCTGCTCCTATTAGCCAAAGAATAATAAAATTGAGTAATTTTATTACTCAATAAAAGGATGATTAAGACAACTGCACAAGAGTATTTTCCTTTCAAATTAGGACTGGAAAGTGATACCTGCCACCTCACATGTGCACATTGCCCAGTGTGGGTTGGATCAGTTTTGGGGTACAGAGGGTGATGAATGTCTGCACCAGGTCTGAAAGCAAAGGAGAAAGGAAGTGTTTATAACCAAAGAGGAATATTAAAATGTCTGTTTCTACCGTAAATCTACCTGTAATGGTGGGGCTGATTGTTTTGAAGTGCATTCTGTAGCAAAACAATAATGAGAAGAGGGAGAGCACGTTACTTATCTTCTCTACCTGGCTGGTGTATAACAGGCTAACATCTAATTGAAAAAATATCCTGATGGGAGTATTTCTAATAAATTTGTTTGCACCCTCATAGCCTGGAGGAGAGGGGAAAAAAAATCCAATCAGCAGTGGGGAAGTTCCAAAGTTTCCATTGCATTTCGAGTCTTGATTTTCAGGCTCGCTGCTCAGCCTGGCAATCAGAGGAACAGTAATTCTGAAGGCAGGATTCATTACAATTGTTATGAAGGCAGCAAGGGCAGAAGGAAGTGTGGAGTGGAGGTAGGGGAATAGTAGAAAGCCAGAAAAAAAAAATACCTTCTGACAAACAGAAGGATATGGAGAAAGAGGGTGTTTGTCCTGCCCTGGACCTCCCCTGTGAGGGAGATTTTTTGTTTGCTGAATGTAACTTTCCAGGTGACTTCCGTTTTCTGGAGAAATAGGTTGTAGCCAGGTGGGGGGCAGTCTCCTCTCCCAAGAAACAAGTGACAGGAAAAGAGGAGAGTGATCCAAGTTGTGCCAGAGGAGGTTTGGGTTGGGCATTAGGCAAAGTTTCTTCACTGGAGGGGTGGTCAGGCTGCTCAGGGCAGTGATGGAGTCCCCATCCCTGGAGGGGTTTAAAAGCTGTGTAGGTGTGGCACCTGGGGACATGGCTTAGTGCTGGGTTAATGGTTGGACTTGGTGGTCTTAGAGGGCTTTCCCAACCTAAATGGTTCTGTGATTCTCTCTCCACTGACCTGTGCCACCTCTTCTTCCCATTCAGCCGTGTCTGCTGGGGTTGGTGGGGTTGTCAGGGGGTACAGAGGGGTTGTCAGGGGGTACAGAGCTGGTTGTAGGCTGTAGAGCTGGTTGAGCCTCCGTGCCTGGAAGCACAGCAGCTCCAGCTGGAACTGTGCTGGCAGGAGCTGGCTGTGCCAGTGATCATTTAACAGGTGGAGGGACGTTCAGTTTAGAGTGGGTGGCACCTGGCTGCCTTCTGGGAGAGCTGCTTGTCCCAGCGAGCCCATAGTGCTGCTGGTGGTCGCTGCATCCCACAGCTCCTGACAGATTTAACAGAATCCAGCATTTGCACAGGGATCCCCTTCCACCCCGCTGCAGCTGCTGCTGGCATTAGTTAATGAGTGTCACAATACCTGCTCCAATTTTGCAGCTTTTAATTGGTTTGCTCTGCTATCCCAAAGGATAGTTTGGCAATTAGAGGGTGTCTGAGGCCGAGCAGAGCAGTGTTACCCCCACTTGGCTTTACTAACTCTGCTGACTTTAATAGCTAATCCTGTAGCACTCTGAGAAACAGAAGTGTAATTAATTGTCTAGGCTGAAAATCTTCACCTGGTTTTATTTAGATTTCGCCTTTATTGCTCTTAATACAGCCAATTTCTGTTAAGGCATAACTGGTATCAGCTTCATATCAGAGGGTGAGAGGGCACGCAAGGGTGAACAACCTTCAATTCATCATCCTGCTCATAAGGGCAAGAGGGCTGGCTCTTCCCCTTGTTAAGTACAAGGTGTCACTCACAGCTGGTACCTCCATCCTCGTCTTGGGAGTGTTTTATGGCACAGCCCGTTTTATTGCCATAATTAATTTGTGAACTCAGCCTTGAGGACTGGCCCCAGCCATACTTTGAGCCGGAGACAATCCTGGAGGGCTTTTTTTCCTTCCTTTGGAATCGGAGCAAGTGAAAAGCTCCCACTGTAGCTAATTAATGAGGAGAGTTGTCGTTCTCCACAGGGGTTTTGTAGCCCAGTAAGTGGATTAGCAGCCGGGTGTTTTCCAGAGCTGTGGGGACACGGGCAGATGCTCGGGCTGCTCGGCCTCCTGCCCGGCCGTGGAGGCACAGTCCTGGCAGAGCAGGCAGGGAAACAGGAGGTGGGGGGAATGTGCTCTGGCAGCCAGAGTGTGCAAACAGCATCACAATCAAGATGGGAGATCAGGCTTTGCACACAGACCCCCCCTGTACACTCCAGAGCGATTCCACGTTGCTGCAGGAGCTTTGCTTTGGTGTTAAGGGGTACCCAGAGGTCTGGGAGAGCACTGGATGGGACCTGCCTGTCCTGGAAATTTCCATTAATGGAAGCTGGCTTTTTACAGCTGATTAATGGTCTAGTAGGAATTTTAGCAAGAGCTTTTTTTGGGTGATCTTTGCTGCAGGGCACATCTGTGGGTTTGCACACATTTGGCTTATTTGTTTGAACTTGAGTGATTCATTCCTTATTTCACTAAAAAAATGCCATAACTGTGCTGTGTTACCACGTCCCACTGCAATAACCAGGATGTAAGTGTGCTCATACATGCTCCAGAGTTTTAAAGGAGCAGCTCAGGATTTTCCTCTGGGAATTTTGGCTCTTGATATGAAGAGCCAGGAAGGCATTTGGGATGCACGTGACTGTGGTGTGCAGATGGCATTTCACTGACTCTTAACTTTCTTTTGCCTCTCTAGTTTGATGGAGAGAACATGTACATGGGAATGAATGACAACGCCCAGGAGTTTCTATCTGCCAATCAGGTAAGTGTTGGTTTGCTGGGGTGGGAGAGTGGTGAGATATTTAGGGGAGTCAGGCTATGCCCAAGCACAAATTCTAGGAGCTGTCTGTGAATCTGCTGCCCTGGGGCATCAGGAGTGTCCATGGGAAGGGTCAGCCTGGCTGCTGCCAAGGAGCAGCACTGGATGCTCTCAGTACAGGGAGTGGGATGCACTTGTGTGCCAGTGCTGCTGTGAGTCACCAGAGCCTGGCTTAGCCACAGCTCTGCCACCAGGGAGGCTGAAAAGCTTTGCCTCACCATCCTTCACTCCAGTTGGTGTTTCTGGACGCGGTGAAGTTTCCAAGTATTGTGTGTAGCTCAGGTGTCTCCTTCCCTCATGTAGAGTGTTTCCTGTAGCTAAATAGATTAACAGTTAGGGGAGAAAAAGGAATCAAAGGTTTCCTGTTTTGGAGCTATAAACCCACACGTGGAGGACCAGAATAGAAGGTGTCTTGCAGGTGCCTGAGCCTTCTCTGGGCTTGGGTGCACATGGAACAGACATGTCCATTCACTGAAGCCTCAAACACATATGTGGGTTGGAACAAGATGATCTTTAAGGTCCCTTCCAACCCAAACCATTCTGTGATTCTATAAAGTTAAGCCCATGCTTAGGTCCTGCTGGGAGGGGAGGACTTCAGGACGTGCCTACCTGTCCCGCTGACCAGGAGATGAGACCTGGTCCCATGTGCATCCCTCTGGCATGGGTAGAGCGTGCTGGGTGCTCAGGGCACATTCAAGGTGCTGGAAGCATCTCATCACATCCAGCCTTGTGAGGGAAGGTGAAAGTTCATTGCTAATACATTTCACCATCCCATTTTTGGGTTGTGTTGGGCCATTTTGTTGTGGGGACCTGTTGACCACAGAACACACCACTCTATGTCCCTGAGGTTTGCTATGGCACTGCTGTGGGTTACCAAGCAAGTCATCCATGGTGAATGTAACTCCAATAACTGTGGGGATTAAACTATGGATATTACACTGGAAACAGGATGAAAACCTGCAGTTCACCTCCTTAGAGTGTGGCAGCGTGTTGGCTCATTTCTTGGAAGTGTTGTTCCTGCTCTGGAAGCAGGCACTCGAAGCCCCTGCTGCTCCAGAGTGGGGAGAGGTTGTTCTTGCGTGAGAAGCATTTCCAGGGTGGGGAAGGAACAGCAAACTTTGTGCTGTTGAGTGATTCAGCAGAAACAAATATGTAGTCAATCAACAACGGCGTGTGGTTGATCATTAGAGCCAGGAATTGCCAAAGGTTGAGTAAATACAGAAAGGAACAGGGTGAGCCCAAGCTGCCCCAACCAGGGGTCAGCCCTGTCCCCCTCCCCAGGCTGAGCAGAGCCCACGAGCAGGTGGTGGATGCTCCTGGGGCAGTTGTCTTAGACACTCTGCTTTTAAAAACCCCCAAGGGACAACTAGTCCACAGCCTCATGAGGAAGGGTCGTCAGTGACCAGCCACAGTCCCTGGCCATGATGTCCCTGCAGGATCAGACTGGTTTTGGGCAGAACCATGGCCAGCACAAACCATTTGTGTTTCCTTCTCAGCCCCTGTCACATCCCACTTCCCCCATGGGTGGGCACAGGAGGGGAATCAGGAGTGATGCTGCAGGGTTTGGAAGAGTTTGCTGCAGCACAGTTGAGGAGGAGAGTTGGCTTCCAAAGAAAAGCAAAGGTTATCATGTGGTGGAGGATTCATGTACTGGGTTTGATCCTGGAGAAGGATCAACCAAACCAGCTTAGATCCCTGTGACCTGGGAAACAGGAGTTTATTCTTATTTGTTCTCTATTTACTTTGGAGTAGCAATTAAGGATGAAAAGGGAAGAAGTATCTTTGTCTTGGCAGAGGAGGAGCAGGTACCTCCTGTTACAGGGATGGTTGTGTGCATGGAGGATGTATTGCTGCCTTCTCCATCAGCAAAGCACCATAGGAAGGGACTTGGAAAATAGATGGGGAAGTTTGTCTTGTCTTGCATCTCCAGTTCTTCTCCCTGTGCTAGTTTTCTTGGGACAGTCAGAGAGGAACTGGGAGTGGGACCAAGGGGTGCAAGGGCAGAGGGTGGCACCTGGGGCTCTGTTGGGATGGGTGCCCCTCTGGGATGCTGCAGTGACCCCCCATAACCTTCTCTGGGGTTGCAGGAGGGTAGTGGGAGGGAAGGTGAGGATCCCAGTTCATGCCCTGAGGGGTGTTAATGGTGGTTCACACCCAGCATGAGCTTTGGCCCAGGAGGATGGGGAGCAGCCTTCCTCCTCACCCTCACTAGCTCATCCTCTCCCCTTATTTACCTGCACATCAGGGCCTGTTTACCAGAAAGCACTTGATAGCCCCCCCATGCCTTCAGTATTAATAACACAACTCTGTTATTTAAATGGAGATTCCAGATGAATTTTTATTGTTTGCTAAACCTGTTGTGACCCGAAGGAGTACATTAAACAGCAGGAGTGGGATTTCACAATCCCTCTTCAGAGGCTGCTAAACCACCAGCCCTGCACAGCACACATGGGATGTTGCTCAGAACCTTGGGATCTGTGGGGACAAAGGCAA